CCCCAAAACCCCAAAACCCCAAAACCCCAAAACCCCAAAACCCCACGATTTAATTTAAAATTGAAATTATTAACTAATTCATCAAAGACTGGCTACTGGTTAGAACCTATTCGATCTTCTGGCTTCTCTGATACTTTTCCTCTTGCTCTCTATACTATCAGGCTTGTGACATACGACAATAGGCTTTATATTTCTCCTGCAGGAATTGATTGTTTGACTATGAAAAGTTGTGAGAGAAAGTTTCCCAAAAATGAATACCTTATTCAACTGCTGGTTTAGCACCCTGGTGTATACATTCATGTCAAAAGTAGGGTTTTTAGAGTCCAAATCCATGAAAATTCCTATGAAGATTAGCCAACAGCTAGTAGTAAGTTACCTATCGAGCTCTTTTTGTGTTTAGGCTTATTAGCTTGACTCAGATTTCCCTTCAAGCCTTGTAATTTAGAGTTAAGCATATTCTAGCTAGATTAGTTCTGTAAAATACCTCGAATTTATTTAGTCAGCACAAGAGACTTCTTATTGGTTAATCCATTATCTTCAGCTCTTGATGGTTGTCTTGATAGGTAATTAGCCAATGAAGTCTCTTGAGTATTACTAAGCTGAGGGAAGAACGAATTTATTGTGTCATTAGAGTCTATGAATCAATTCAAAATCATACCTCAAACCTTATTTGCTGAAGAGTTGGGATTCAAAGTTTCTTGAACATGGTTTCTCCCTTCAGAAGAAAGTTTGTTGTAGTGAGATACCTCCATGCTCATCTGTTCTCCTTTCTTCTTGTAGTTTAAATTATCAGTGATTTTATCAGCTCTATTGAAATATTCGTTGTAAAAATACCTGTCTGGGACAGAACTATTTGTTCTAAAGCTTATCTCTGAACTAGGATTTTGCTCTTTGTAAATTGACTGAAGTACAGAATTGATTTCCAGGATCTTGGACATTTTCTGCCCTTTCCCAAATCTAGTTCCTAAGAAGATCGATGAGAAATCTCATCAGACTTATTCATTTCTTTTCAATAGGAACATTCTGTTCTTTTTATTACCGAACTGTGCCTCGGCTTGTTAATTTCTAGGGTGTTTGAGAGGTTAAGACCCCCTGGGTTCAAGCTCATTCCTCCCTGATTTGACTTATGCAAAGGTGACTGGCTCAATTTTTCGTTCTTTAACTTGTTTTTCAAACTCTATAAATGAAACATAAGTTTAGGTAAGCTGTTGTTGACTAGAATCTTTAAGTGTAATAGACTCAGAGGACTAACAGAAGAAACAATGATAAATACCTTACTTTATCGAAATCTTTCAAGAGCTTATTTATTTCTATCAATTTTGAGGAGGCCGAATTTCTTCTTCAATTTTCCTTGAATAAAGTCCTTGACTCTTGGCCTCTTAGACACTAGGCTTCATCTCTTCTTGGTCTTCTTGGGCTGTATTTTAACTCTTCGGATCTTGGGAAGTTTCTTAGGAGTATCCTCAATGTACTCGTTGAAGTAAGCATCGATGGCTTGGATTACCCCTTTTTTCTTGAACTTATTTTATTTTATGAATTCTTCGGCACAATTTTAAACCTACGTTCTGAATGTCTTTATTTATCCTTTATTTGACTGGAAGGAACGTCCATGAACTCATCACTAAGACTCGAACTCTCCTCGCTCAGATTGTGCATTATGATTTGGAATTAATAAATTTATTGTTCGATTACTTAAGAAGGAGAAGGGGTTTTGGGGTTTTGGGGTTTTGGGG